GAACAGTGGCTGCCAACCGAATTCAGCAGGTAATTGTTTTTTTTGTGTACCGTATCCCACTGAAACCTGTATCGCAGGAAACGGCTTCCGCAGATGATTTGGCGCGGGTCGCGCAGGATGCTATTGATGCTAAGGTAGCACGTCGGCGTGTGTTCACCGATGTGTTGGACCACCTGCATGCCGCAGACCTGTCCGTGGCTCAGTTTATGGACCACATCTTCGATCCGAGGACCAAATTGCAGACAGATGTTAGGTGGAAAGGCTTTTTCGCACAACGTCCTCTGGTGGAGCGGATTTTCGGGTACTGGACGTCTTCTCAGTACCCCACAACTTCACGGAATTTCGTGGACGGCTGGGCGACACAACACGTCGCGAAAAAGGTGTCTATGGAGGCGCGTTCAATCACGCGCTCAGGTATTCTGAGCAAGGCTAAAAAGACCGTTAACGAGAGATTCTTCCTCGACTTCAGTCTTACAAACCTCACCCAGACTTTACGCGAGAAAGCGCCGCATGCGTTCGCAATTTTCGACGCGTTTTCAACAACCTCTCGCCAACTTGCCCAAATGACGCCCGCTTTCATGCGCAAGAAAGAACTGGTATGTTCGACTTTTTTTTACTGTGTTCAACCAATTGATTTTGGTCGAAGATGAAGGGTACTGCTGCGCTGACCCTTCTACGCGGCGCGAGTCAGCGCAACAGCTACGCCCAATCTGTGACGAGCACGTACCTAGCAGCCACTGGCGGTCAACGACAACACTTCTCTGTACTCGGACTGTATGGCTTTAGTGTCGGTTACAGCAGTATCATCGCGCATGGGAGTGTTGTTGCCAGTAAAGACGAAGCACCTGCGAGTATTTTTCTCATTGGCCGCTTTTTTTAGACCTGATTTACGTTCTCTCAGGCACCCTCCGCAGACGAGAACCCGCAAGCACCCGACGAGTTCGATGATCTTCCTGAGCTGGCACCGGTACTGGACGAGGATGACGAAGACGACGATGACGATAGCGATGCGAGCCCTCTCGCCGGGCGGAAGAAAAAGAAAGGCAAGCGCAAGGGCAAGGGTAAGAACAAGGAAGGGAAGAAGAAGCAAAAAAAGCGCAAACGCGCTCGTACCGCCGGTCTTTTCAGCGCCCTTCGCGATGCCTGCATGAATACAACTCGTGCAATTGCAGCTACCAGGGTGACTGCATTGGTCTACGACAACGTAAACCTGATGAATCGGATTGCCGAGCAGATTCTGGGACGCAAAAGTAAGTCATTTCCACCCTCCAGAATAAACTCTTACATTACGGGCACAGGTGCGCAGGAGAATGGCACATGTGCGACACTTATACCTCTGCACAAGGCCAAACTCGGCGATCTACTTACTTCCAAGCTCGACAAATCAATTCTCGCAGCTCGCCCGCTCACTGTCGACGATATCAGTCTCAATGCGACCGACACAGCATTTTTTATCGAAAACATGGTGCACACCATTTTGCGCACCATCGTTCTGCACGGCGGCGAGGGGTTCGAGAAGTGGAAGGCTGACGTGGACGCCGCTCAGCCCGTGAGTGCCGATGTTATTGAGGTGCACAAAACCCCGCTCCATCCACTCCCGACCATGGAGATTGACGAGAGCTCCATCACGGGGAACGTCGAGGTTATCGAGGAGATTATGCGGGTTCTGGGATTCAAGCCGGATGACGCCGAATATGCGAAGTATGTCCAAATCATCGCAGGAGACCAGTTGACCATCGCCCGGCAGCGCTCAATTCTCAATGTACGTCTCGGCCATGAAAGCGGCCCTCACGCCTGGAGACACACCGTCCTGATGCCGGGCCTTTTCCACGCGAAGATTGCAGATTGCCACGGCGTTCTCGAGACACATTTCGGCAGACCCCACGTTCGGAGCCCTGGCAGCCTTGGATTCCACAACACCGTCCTCGACAGACTGCCGATTACGCTCACCTCGCTGCCACCGTTCCGTACATGCCGTGATCTGATCATGGTTTCTTTGTATGCACGCGTTCTCCACTGCCTTCTCCTGGTGTCGGGCACGGACTCGCTGGACGCTTGTGCACGGTCCATCGACTCGTTCGCCACGCTTGTCGGGCACGCCAAGAAGATCTACACCGAATACGCTGATGCCGACCGGGTGCAGGAGCTGCGGGAACGTCGAATTCCAGACGAGAGAGCCCGTGACGCAAAGATCAAAGCTGACAAGAAGGCTGCGGGCAAGGATGCCAACGACGCGGGCAAGTCGAGCCCGCCGCATATCCGCAAAGGCGACATGGTGTATGAGAATGCCATCCTGTTCTTACGCGACGCGCTTCTCACCCGTGAATTTGCCGACGCAATCAAGGCGGGGGATTCCGGTCGCATACTGATCATCCTGCGGCTTTGGGCATTCTGCTATCGGGGCAACGGGCGGACGAAGTATGCGCACGAGATGCTTCATCTGCTGCACAATCTTATCTGTGTTTGGACGAAGGAACTTCGGTAAGTATTCGCTCATACTCAGAGAATGGTTATCCAATCAATCCACAGGTCTATCATTGTGCAAAATTGGGTCGGAAACCCGCAAGGTAAAGCCAACTGTTTCGTTGAGATCGACCTCATACAAGAGCACCTCAATTTTTGGATCAAGGCATGTTCGATGATTAAATTATGTCCCACTCTAATCAGAATTCTCCAGAAAATCTACAAAGCGGACGGAGAGGGCCACTCGTGGGACTGGCTAGCGCTCATATCTCCCTGCGTCGACGTCTTACGACAACTCGCGACCAAGATCAACGGCGACCTCGGCGCGCGTCAAGGTTCCAAACATGCTACCCCGGATCTGGCAGCCGACATCGACGAGCTGATGGCCAGCCTCGCGGAACACGAGGTATACGTCGAGAAGGAGGGCCGCGTTCTCGACGACGATGAGAAGCCGGTCCCCGATGTGCTATCTGTAGGCCTCGCTGCACTTACTCACGGCAGCTCAACAACTCCACTCGAAGAGTTTAATCAGCTCTTCGAAACCTTGCGTCAGCGGCGGCATCTCACGCCCGTTGCTGATCTGCTCCCACTCATCAACACCTCTGGGAACGCGAACGCTTTCATCGCCGATCCCAATGCGCCACCTGTGGACTCTGCTCCCATGCAGACCGAGGATGACGATGAAGACTACTCCGACTTACCTGAGCTGATGGTACCGGACGACAGCGACGAAGAGCTGGAAGATGACGTCGAAGAGCCGGACGAAGACTTGTTTGCCGACTCGCCCACGCTGACGCGTCTCGACGAAGGTGATGTTGAGTTGGACATGGATGATGTGCCGGAATGGTTCCTCGACGATAGCGACAGTAGCGACTCGGACTCCGATGATGGGGACATGTAGGCACTCAGTAACGCGTTCGTTTAATCTACCTTAGTTGAAATCATATTGTTTCTGGCCCAAATGCACGAATACGCGAGGAATTGGAGGAAACCAACGAAGCGAGCACAGCCACATATTGAGCCCGGTTTGGACTGCCCCGCCGAAGTTGCTGAATCGGACGCGTTTAAGGCGCCCAACACGCGTTTTTTTTTATTCATACAATACATTGGGTCTATCCGTTCCCGTGGGCGGTTCAAAGAAGTCAATCTATATTTTCCGTCGGTGAAAAAACTCGTTTGAAGTAAAAGATAGAGTGGGAAAAATTATCCCTGGTACAATACTTGAGTTGGGGACGGATTTTGGGTGATTTCAATGTTTTTCTTCTAAGTCCCGGCGCTTCAAATGGCGGGCAAATCTTCCATCACCCAAAAACGCGACGAGCCGGCCCAGTCCGTCCACGAGCTTACCCCGATTTCACATGCATCAATATTTTGTCTCTGTTGTTACTGATGTTGTATCTATTTGCTAGCTGTCCCAATCCGTCGACCACCCCGTGTGAGATTGTAAGCGAGTGGACGTCGACTGTGTTCACGAGTCTAGTGTTTACCTTTCATCAGTTTTGATTCACTCAAAAGGCTAGCCAAGACCAAGCCAAGGACAAGCCAAACATCTGTCTTTGGCATTCTACTCTCACCAACAGCTATTATTTTCCTTGGCTTCTCTTTTGGGCTACTTTGAACAGCAGCTGTTGTTAGCAGTGCAGTCAGCTGCACTTTTTCGACTGCGCCAAAACTGCGCCGCAGGTTGCAAAGCTGAGACTGTAGTCCCGCAGTAATTTTTCCAGCTATAAATTACCGTCAATTTCGGATTATCGCCCTGTGATATCCACTGTGCGTATTTCGCTGTTACAACGTTCCGCTTCAGAAGTTGAACCAGCTTTTCTTTCATTTTTCCGCCCCTCCTCTCCGTCCCAAGCGACACTGCCTCATTGAATTCGGCTTCGTTCTGCAATAAAGCCTATAATTCTCCAATGGCCGGAGCGTAGCGATGGCCTATCTTGTTTCGTACAACAGTTCAACTTGAACTTGGGTGTATGTGTATCTTCGGGCGGGCAGCTCGGACGGCGACGAGAATACTTATGCCGGTTTGGGGGTAGCATGTAAACTTTTTAGGCTCATGAGCGGCATGGCAATATTTTTTGCGGGTCCAGAATGATGATGTATCAGGTCCCTCGCAGCGGTTCGACGACAAGAAGCAAGGCACAACCTAGCTACTGTATAGAACCGGATCCGCAAATAATTATAAGAAGAAGCAGAACCAAAAAAACATTTATTCCAAGGCAACATTCGGGTGCGGGGAGTCGAAGGGCCCGGTCTGCAATTAGACTTTCTTTCTCAATCATCCTAAGAAGACACTGGCGTGCACCGCGCACCACACCCGGGGTGAATGGATACTTCGGTCCTATGTGACTCCTTCAGCAATTTGCCAACGACAAACAATAGAATTGCTTACATCGAGTCAGTCAGGTCTGCCAACTCTCCGCGCGCCACGAAAGATGAATAAATCTATGACCTGCAAAATCATCGCGAAAAAAGAGGAAAGAAAAAGAAAGGGTAGGGATGGAGGAGGGGCAAAAAATGGCGTCTCTGCCAACATATTCGGGTGCGGGGAGTCGAACCCCGGTCCCCGATCTGCAGCTTGGGTTTTTTTTTTTCAAAGCCACCACTTTTCTACAAGACACTGCCGTGCACCATGCACCACACCCGACGTACCTGCATACTTCGGTCCTCTGCGATTCCTCAACAAGCAAAGATTAAGTACGTAGTCAACCACATCTGACTCTCTGGACGCCAGACACCATGAATAATGACCCGCGAAATCATTGCGGGAAAAAAAAACAAATTTGTGGACAAGGTGACCTTTTACTCCCGATACAATCATGTATGCATAAGAAACCATTAACGAAATTTGATGTAGGGAGGGAGGAGGAGCAAAAATGGAGTCTCTGCCCGTATATTCGGGTGCGGGGAGTCGAACCCCGATCTGCAGCTTAAGTCTTCTATTTCGGCGTCAAGAAAGGCCAACGTGCGCCGCGCACCACACCCGAGGTACGTGTGTAGTTTAGTTCCCCGATAGCTGAACAAGAAACCGGGTCCACGCAACGGAATCGTATTACAATGGACAACATTGATTCTAGTGTCCAATATATTATGAACTCTGCATAAGCATACAGTCATCTTATTAGACAGATTTCTTATGAAAGAAAGAAAAAAGGACACAAACTCTTGAGGCATTCGGGTGTGAGGAGTTGAACCCCGATATACCTGCAGCGTACTCATTAGACCTGGAACACGGAACACTGCCATGCACCGCGAACCACACCCGTAAGTGCTTCCGCTGGTCCTTGAATAAGTGAGGCTGCCTTGAAAGCCTTCCGATCATGCATCGGAGAGCCAACAAAAATTTGAACATCCTGTAGACTCAGCGGACTCACCGGCAGTTTAGCTGAGAGTATTCCAGAGAGTCTTCAGCGGTTTAACTGAAACGATAACTTGGCACAACACGCAATTATAAGTGAAAAAGAAAAATAAGTAAAAAGCATACATCAGCAAATTGATTTCAGGTGCAAGGAGTCGAACCCCGTTCTGAAGCTTGGGTTTTTCAAAGCCACCACTTTTTTCCAAGACACTGCCGTGCACCGTGCACCACACCTGAGGTAAGTGCATACTTCGCTGCTGGTCGGTGCTTCCCTTGAATTCAGCAGCTACAGTGAGCACAAAAATACCTCAATTCAACCTGAGGCTCCGCGCGCCAGACACAATGAATGATGACCTGCAGAATCATGGCAAAAAAAAAAAAATCTGACTGAACAACCTCACCTTTTACTCCCGATGTATTTACGGATGCACAAGAAACCATCAACGAAATTCGCGGTAGGGAGGGAGGAGGAGCAAAAATGGAGTCTCTGCCCGTATATTCGGGTGCGGGGAGTCGAACCCCGATCTGCACCTTAATCACGCTGGAATTAATCCATTCAAAGCCGCCGTGCACCGCGCACCACACCCGAGGTACGTGCGTTGTTTGGTTCCCGGATAGCTGAACAAGAAAACCGGGTCCACGCAACGGAATCGTGTTTACGATTCACAATGCACATCCCGGGTAGGGAGGGATGAGGGGCAAAAATGAAGTCTCCGCCAATATATATTCGGGTGCGGGGAGTCGAACCCCGTTTTGCAGTTTGAGTTATGATGAACTTTCTCCTTCCCACAGGAAACTGCCGTGCGCCGCGCACCACACCCGAGCTACATGTATAATTCGGCTGCCAGATAGATGAGCAAGTAAATTGGGTTACTCACACAACGGAATCGAATGCAAGGGCCTCTTATCCAGATCCAGCGTTCAATATAATACCGGGCTTTGCATACATGCAGTCAGCTTAACGCCACAAATGCATACTTCGATGGAACATGGAATCGATAGACAAAAGACAAAAAAAGAAGGAGAAAAAAGAAGGAAGAACCCGGCCACTCGGGTGCGGGGAGTCGAACCCCGGTCTGCAGCTTACATACAACGTAGAAGCCGTGAAGGAAGGCTGTCGTGCGCCGTGCACCACACCCGAACAATATTCCATACTTCGGTCCTAACAAGCGGGGCATTACGACCATACATAACTGCCCGCATAACCAAAGGAATTGAATATGCCGCACAATGACCGGAGGCGGTTCAGCTGAGCATATTCTGGAGTCTCGAACGGTTTGTAGCTCGGCACAGCACCCAATATCGACTGGAGGAAAAAATGGGAGCAAGGAGTAAAAAAAAAGCTTTACCGGAAGAAGCATTCGGATGCGGGGAGTCGAACCCCGGTCTGCAGCGTGGCCATCAGACCGGGAATAAGAAACGCTGCCATGCGCCGTACACCACACCCGAGGTGAGTTTACATTTCTTTCCCTAAATAACCAAAGGATATTCTGTGATTGAATTGTGGCCAGCGGAAATGGACTCAAACTCCTTCGCAGAATCTTTTTGTTCAGCAGCAACAATTGCAAGCCATCTGATTGCTTGTAGATGGACGTGTTTCAACAAGCTATTAAGAAAATGGCGCAGAAATAAAGATATTCGACCCGAGTCTTTTATTCGGGTGTGGGGTACACCAAGTTTTCACTGCAAAGGTTGGTGAAAAACTTGAATCATTTTAGTGAATTATTTGAATTTAGGTCCAAAAATCGTGAAAAACTTGAAACATTTCAAATAATTCACCAGAATGTTTCGAGTTTTTCACCAAATCTTTCAGTGAAAACTTGGGGAAATATTCAAAACAAAATTCATCCATTTTTCCACTGAAAAACTTGAAATGTTCAACCAGTGTATACAGCCAGCGTAACGCCATACATACTTCGATGCGAAATGGAATCGGGAGACAAAAGGAAGGGAAGACTCAGCCATTCGGGTGCGGGGAGTCAAACCCCGGTCTGCAGCTGAAGCCAGTAGATAACATACTTAGCAACCGGTCCTGCTGTGCCCTGTGCACCACACCCGAGCGATGGTGGTACTTTGTTCCTTGAATAAGGAGGAGAACCTCTTGTGTGATAGGGAAGTGCGTGCCAATGAAGGATTGTAGGATGAACCAATTGCAATGAAAATCAACCCAAATTTCTACTACTGAGTCTTTTTGTTCAGCAGCAACAATTGCAAGCCATCCAGTGATTGGCTGTAGCTGGACATTTTTCAACAAGCTATTAAGAAAATGGCGCAGAAATAAAATAGAAGATCTTCGACCTGCCTTATTCGGGTGCGGGGAGTCGAACCCCGGTCTGCAATTTGAGTTATGATGAACTTTCTCCTTCCCACAGGAAACTGCCGTGCACTGCGCACCACACCCGAGCTACTTGTATCATTCGGTTCTCAGATAGATGAGCACGGAAATCGGCTGCAAAAGCGGAATTGAAAGCACAATGCACAATGTACATCCCAGGTCCTACGTAAATCCTATTCAGTGTCCCGCAATGCTCTGCATATACAGCCCGCTTACCGGTCAGCTTATCATCCGTATGTGCTCAACGCAACACAATACATCGACGATCGTTTGATTCGAAAGGGAAAAAAAACTGAGGACGACAAACAGTGTTATCCGGGTGCGGGGAGTCGAACCCCGATCTGCAGCTTAATCACACTGGAATCACTCCATTCAAAGCCGCCGTGGGCCGTGCACCACACCCGAGGTACCTGTATGATTCAGTTCCTGGTTATATGAGCAAGGAAATCGGCTGCAAAAAACGGAACCGGACACACAAAAACCCATCCCCCTATCCAGCGTCCAATATAATAATGGGTTCTGCATACATGCAGTCAGCTTAACGCAATACATACTTCGATGCAAAATGGAATCAGTAGACAATAAAAATGAAAAAAAAAGAAGGAAGAACCCGGCCACTCGGGTGCGGGGAGTCGAACCCCTGTCTGCAGCTTGATTTCCTTTGTATGCCTTACATAAGAAACCGCTGTGCACCGTGCACCACACCCGAGCTATGTGTGGGATTCCGTTCCCAGATAGCTTAGCAAGAAAATCGGTTTCACGCAACGGAATACAACATCCCAGTCATGAGCGATTCTGCATAGTATACTTATAAAGTCAGTTTATATTAGGAGCTAGATACAGTCCATTTATCAACTGTTTTGGAACAGAGCGCATAGCTTACTGCGATACATGCAGTGAGTCAATGAAAAAAAAAGTTCAATACAGGGTCCGACAATCACGGCGGCGATCAAAATATATTTCCGTGGGAAATCTGGCGAAGAACTATAAAATATAGTTTCCCACCCAGATCTTTCCGAACAAGTAATTAAGAAATATTCAGAATTTTTCCTGTCAGATTTCTACTGGAAACAGACATGATCTTCCGACAGGAAAAAAAGTGAGAAAACTGCTAACTTTTTCCCGCAGATTATCTGGGGGAAAAAGGCAAGGTTCTTCCAAAGGAAAAGATCTGGCCGGAAATTTCCATAGGAAAAAGAAAGCATGTTTCCTGAGGAATGACCATATATAGTAATTTTCCAGGAAAAATCAGCAGTTTTCTCTTTTTTTTTTTTTTTTTTTTTTTTTTTTTTTGGTGGTACGATATCAGTGTAAAGACAATGAACAATTGGTTAGCTTCTTAGACTGCGTAAGGAACAGAGGGTCATGACCCTCCGGCGTAGTTGTAGCGAAAGAAAATTCAGTACACACGGCCACCGCCCGGGGAATGCATTTCTGCACGAAACGGGGGATAACAGTGTGGGACTCAGAGCCTATCTCCCTCTTCCTCGTCTGCCAGGTGGGCGGGGACGTGGTGGGGGTCTTGACGTTTTCGGCTCAATACCCACTAAAACCCGGGTCTGCCGTATCCAGTCTTGTGGAAGTTGATGTTCCTTCAGGAGGACTGAGGTCCAAGCCTCGGTAACCAGTACAGGGTTGATAGAGGCTTGTTTGCCGTATTTAGCGGCATTTGTTAGTTTGCAATCATAGACACTGGTTGAACATTTCAAGTTTTTCAGTGAAAAAATTGGTGAAAATTATTTTGGGTTTTTCACCAATTTTTCACTTAAAACATAAGTGAAAAACTTATAAGTTTTTCACCACTTTTTTCACTTTGAAAGAGGTGAAAAATTCGAAACAAACTTTATGTTTTTTTCACCAAAAATGTTTCAAGTTTTTCACCTACGTTTACACTTGAAACTTTTTTCACCATATATACGTACTCCCCACCACAATTTGCAGCCAGGAAAAGATGATAAAAGATGTGTCATTTTCATCCTGGATTTGGTTCTGCTGCAATTGTTTCTTTGTGGATTTGTTGTCTTGCGTTCGATTGGCAGAGGTCCAGACCAGCTCCCAGCAGACAAATCCGTGCACAGGCGGACTTTGCAGCATCAATTTACTGTGGCTCAAAGCCATTTTTGCCTGGGTTTCATCCTGGATTTGGTTACAATGTGGTCATTTCTTTGAAAGGAATTATGGCTGATTCCAGAAATATGGTGACACCGAAAGCGGAAACGATGCGGCTTGGCGGCGGCATCAACTCTGAAAAATTGACCAAAACTGCAAAAACCATTCGCCTAGGCCCATTTTTTTTTCGAGTCTGGTGCACAGAAATGGAGAGTACATTTCCTCACACTTCACCTGATTCACCAGAATGAACTTCAAGGCTAACATCACATCAGTCACTTGCACCAGCTAAAAACTACGAGTGATGGCAAACTTGTAAAACTTGTGCTGAAAAAAACATAAAGTTTTTTTTCGAGTTTTTCACCTTGTTTCAAAGTCGAAAAAGTGGTGAAAAATGTTTCAAGTTTTTCACTTGCGTTTTCAGGTGAAAACCTAGGTGGAAAACTTGAAACATTCTTGGTGAAAAAAACATAAAGTTTGTTTCGAATTTTTCACCTTGTTTCAATGTGAAAAAAGTGGTGAAAAACTTATAACTTTTTCACTTATGTTTCAGGTGAAAAATTGGTGAAAAATGTGATAGAAACATAGGTGAAAAATGTTTCAAGTTTTTCACTTACGTTTCCAGGTGAAAACGTAGGTGAAAAACTTGTAAAACTTGTGGTGAAAAAAACATAAAGTTTGTTTCGAGTTTTTCACCTTGTTTCAAAGTCGAAAAAGTGGTGAAAAATGTTTCAAGTTTTTGGTGAAAAAAACATAAAGTTTGTTTCAAATTTTTCACCTTGTTTCAAAGTGAAAAAAGTGGTGAAAAACTTATAAGTTTTTCACTTATGTTTCAAGTGAAAAATTGGTGAAAAACCCAAAATAATTTTCACCAATTTTTTCACTGAAAAACTTGAAATGTTCAACCAGTGAGAGCAGACATTTGTTCATTGCATTCACCCAGCGATTGTGGATCTGGTTTTCTGGGAGTGGTTCGCCTGCACGCTTGATGACCGTGGTATTCCGGATCTTCCATATTTAAAAGAAGGACTCAGAGATCAAGATTTGGTATAGGCGTATCGTACCGGGGAGTTTACGGCCCCTTCCGTCCGTGAATGTGGCCAGGCCACAGCCGAGGATGCTTCTGAGTGAAAGTTCCGGCCAGGCGTCGTGCTTTTTCAGCCAGAGCTCTTTTGCTAATGCCCATATTTGGGTCTGGCCCGGGCGCCGACATTTCAGAGTAATATGCTCAAGGTCTTCCAGCTCGCCGCAGAATTGACATGTTCCGCGTTCTTCACATTCTGGGATGTGCTTCCAGAAGGCTCCGATTCGATGAGCAGAGTGCATGGACTTCCAGTAGAAGTTTTTCACTTGGCGAGAGAAGTTCTTTGTGCGAATACTTGTCCAGATCTGGGCTGGGGTCGGGACATAGTTGAAGCCCGATTTTACGGCTTGTTGTACTTGTTGTACATTGTTGTCCGTCGCCTTCCGCGATGTGGTCGTCTTTAGTTCCCTAATACCAGCATATGCTATTGCCTGGGTCAACGTTGACAACTTCGCACCTCGCAGTTCCGTGGAGGGTTCAAGTATGAAGTCTATTCGGGCCGATTCCATATCCCGGGCTCCTTCAATTGCCAGCGTCAACGCTCCGGAGAGGCCGATGCTTGACCCACCATCCTTGAAGATTGACTGGGCAGTTCTTGCTTTCAGTTCCCCTGCCAGAGCAGGCAGGGATTCTCGGTCCGTAATTCCGATCCAGCCCTTGTCTTCCATTGCTTGGAGTCGCTCGGTCATGGCTATTCGCAGTGCAGGGCTCTTAGTGTGGATTATCAGTGTTTGGTCTCGAGGGATTGACTGGTCCCCGGCCATGCAGGAGGCGGCCATCACGGATAGCGCTGTCTGGGGCTGGGTTGGGGAGACTTGGAGAGATTGGTTCCGTGGGTCGCTGGGACCGTACCACAGCCCTCCTCCCCATTACTCCGTCTGTGTTCCTCCGCGCGGCACTGCTCACAAATACTGTGATACCCTCTGCATCGGTTGTAGGGACTCGTGGTGGCCTTGCGTCTGGTATGTAATCCGGGTTGTTCCCAGGTTTCATTGTGAAGACCCGGAATCCGTCTGAAATCGAGGAGATCTGGGCGAGAGCCTTGAACTCTCCTTTGGTTTGTTCTTCCTGGGGTCCTGGGCCACCTCGGGCACGGAGGATGGCGCCCATTTCGGGAGCAGGTTGGCTAACTTTCTTTCTATAGCCATGATACATGCGTGGGGGTTTCTACATCCCCGGGACCGTCTGTCGTCCTGGCATGCCGAACATTTGCATTTGGGCGTTCTTCGGTGTGTAACGTCTCGCAGCCTTTGGAGCATGGCCATCCCCTCATGCACATATAGGACACCGTGGTTTTCCCTTAGGCACTTGCATGCCGGGGAGTTGTTTGTCTGTCTCTTCTCGGGGTCCTCCGCTAGATGGTGCCAGAGAGGTATTTCTCCCCTAATCTCCTGTGATGGGTTTTCCGTGTCAAACTCAACGCCATACTTCTTTGCACATCGCAGCATCCCTCGGTGACGCTTTGGCCATTTCTTCTCGTTCGGTTTCCATTTCTGCATGAAGCAGTTTCCCAGTGCTTCCGTATCGAAGCCGTCGGGGTTCGTCACCATCCTCCGGAGGCGCTGATCGGCGAGGTAGCACCAGGTTGCCCGTGTCTTGTGGTCTAGGTCTAGGTACGTTTTCAGCTTCATAATTTGAAGCGCATCGTTCCGGGCTTTCAGGTCGAGCATATTTTTGCCTCCTTGCAATCGGGGTGCCATCAACATGTCGCGTTGTACTGGGGACAATTTCCCCCCCCACATAAATTCCCTCTGGGATTTTAAGAGGTGATTTACCGTCTGCGGTTGCATTTCATTTACTTGTGTCAGATATTGGGTCATCGAACCTATCGTGATTTGCACGATCTGGCATCGGGCCTCCAGCGTTGGGTGCAGAGCTTCCCATCTGGCAAGGGCGGCATCTATTTTTTCTACTATAGGTGTCCACATTACAAAGTCATCGATTCCATTTCCGACGTGGCCGCCTAGGATTCGTACTGATTCGCCTTCTCGTACTATGTGGATATTATCCGGGATGGGGCCGTCCAGGTCATTCAATTTCCTGTATGCAAGCAGGAACGCCCTGTACGCTGGTGAGCCGACTGGGATAACCTCCGTTTTGCCAACATTGAATTTTGCGCTGGAGGCCCGGCACCATTTGTCGAGGATGGACTGCAGCTCTTCGAAACTGTCGGTCTTATCAAGATACACGGTAGTGTCATCCGCAAACATCC